AATCATGAGAACGGGGCACTTACCAATCTTCTTAAAACCGAGCCATTCCCGCATCCGAGGTCGAGAATGGGAGCAGTTTTTGGGTACGTGCGTCGTGACGAAATCGACGATCCTGAAGATGTCAACTACGGATGAAAAGAAAAGCTCCCATCGAATGAAACTTGGCTTGGTTTAAAATTAGTTACAACCTTTTCTCAGCGCTCTTTCCAAACCAAATCTCGCCTTCGTCCCCGCACTCTTCGAAATTGTGCAATTCCAGTTCATATCTTGAATCCCAACTGAACACTTTGTAAGCAAAATGGTTATTAGTTTACAAGCTTTCAAAATTATGGTCTAAAAATTACCTATCTTAAAGCTACGTCGTTAGAGAAACCGATAGCGCTCTACAAAAGCGCACAGTGGGCATAACAGCACCAAGGAGAGGAAAATGATGAGGTCTTGGAGGAGAACCTCCACTTTGCCGCGCTCGTCCGTTTATAGCACTGGCGTGATTTTATGCTTATCTTACGTCGTGTACCAATTGATCGAGCTGTGGATAGTCTTAGCAGTCAGAAATACTCACCCTCCTTAGCGCTGGCTCAAGCTCATAAGTTCGTTGTCGCTCCGGGAGAGAGGCACAAGTATTGACAGCGAGATTAGGATAAGGTAGATTAGGATAGTAGTAGAGTAGGAGATTGCGCTGACAAGATTAGATACGTATCGATTGAAATCGCTGGAGAGTAGTAGATTGCGATATTACGAGTAGGATAGTAGTAGAGTAGGAGATTAGGATAGTAGTAGATTAGGATAGTGCGCTGACAAGATTAGATATGTATTGATCTATTCGCTAATCTACTACTCTCCAGCGATTTCAATCGATACGTATCCAATCTTGTCAGCGCAATCTCCTACTCTACTACTATCCTAATATCCTGTCGCCTACTATCCTAATCTCCGAAGTCGCGAACTATGAACGCGGCCTTTGCGGCTAAAACTGTTAAAGCAGCCCCGCAATTCGGAGGTTCCAATGGAGCTTCAGTGAATCATAGCTGGTCCGTGAGAAGGTGTATGATGCGCATATTATGCTTGTGAACTGAAGCCTTCGAAAAGAAGCAAAAATGCAATGAAAATCAAGGAGCGTATCGAACTTACTACGATTTTGTTCCCAATTCGGATGGAGCGATCGCTACATCATCATCTTCTGTCATCTGTATCCTAGCCGCTATAAAATAAAGTTTCTACAACGATTACCAGCACCAATGCACACAACAGTGGTAAACACGGAATTGTGCAATTTCAAAACAAGGATATTTCAAGAAAAGAAAAGAACGGGTGAGGTGTAGTTCGCAAGGACAGAAAGCGACTTTCGCATTCGCAGCGCGATTTTTCGCTGCGGGAACCTCAGGTCCACCGCTGATCATCAGTGGACCCGAGATTCCCGCAACGAAAAATGTTTCGCGCTGCGAAACGCGAAAAAGTCGCTTTCTGTCCTAGTGAACCACACCCAATCATGGCTGGACCTGGGGATCTCGTAACGAAGAGCTTTGCGCGCGAAAAGCGGAAAAGTCGTTCCCGCACCCGCAGGGATGTTCGGCAGTCTATAAAGCGAAAAGATACAGTAGCACAGAAAAACTAAACCGTCCCAGGCAAGCTTTTCTAAGTTGGACGGGTGTGGTTTACTAGGACAGAAAGCGACTTTGCGAAGCAAGAAAAACTCGCTTTCTTTCCCAGCGAATCACACCCCTGAGGCAGATTTCGTTCCTAGGATGACTTTCACATTGCGTATGAGCGGTTAAAAACAACATTAAACAGACCAGAATGAATAAAGATCCTCTTTGATTGCTAATCTGTAAACAAAACAACCTAAGACCGAATCGTGAAAGCCAACGGAACAGATACACCTCAGCCGTTCCACTTTAATTGGGGCGGAGGGAGGGGGGGGAGGGGGTGCGAAGCAAGGGCACCCATTTCGGGCGGCGGTTAGGTTAGTGAGCATATAATCTAACTTGATTTCTCCTCATGTCGTGTAGCAAGTGCGCGCCAACTCGCCTCGGCACCGTGGCGGATTGAGCGCATCTTTTGAAAAATCGCCATTACGGTACCCCTATGTGATGAATACATATAAGCCTCCTAAGCGACAATCATTTCAGAAAAAGAAGACAGTTTTTGGGCAGTTTTTGAGGACTTTGGAAGCGAGAAACTTCCAATTCCTCAGCTTTCTTGAGCTTTTTCTCAAACGTCTCTTACCTTCAGCATTGGACCCACAGAGGATCTGTCATAAAAGTTGAAAATTGCATGAGAAATTTAAGTCTTAAGAAGAATAAAACTTCCTTCCACGATGGCATCTAAAAGGACCATCACAAAGAAGAGGGTTTACACTTTCTGAAAAGTACTGCAGTTGTTTTGTACGCTTTCTGGCTCGCGAAAAACTGCGTCATGGACCTATCGAGGAAGTCTGCAGAGCAATCAAAAACTCTCTTCCTCCTTCGTCGAGGCGAGGAACTCCCTCCAAACCTTCAGATTGCTTCTTTAGGATACATCAACCCTGACCAGTATGGGTGCGGAAGATTTGGGTTTGGTGACCGTTTTTGGATAACAAGCAAAGCGGTTCAGTGGATATCTTTATTCTGAGAGAGACAATGATTGCGTGGTCGTTCCCAACGCTGACAGAATCAAAAGTGACTCTTACCAGGAAGGTCTTTCAGGGCGTGCCAAGCTTTTTGAAAACGGTCTTTTGCATGATATAGGGGCACATGCGGGAACCACAGAACCATGGTTAATTTTTCCTGAACGGCCCTCTGAATACCAGAAAAGGGGGTCCCTAGTTCGATTCCTCGTGGTGACAAATTTTTGCATTTCGAGTTGACGTTTCAAAATTCGCGCAAAATGGAGTTAGCATGAATAATTAGTACCATATTCATGATTAGGACCGTCAGTAACCCTTACAAATAGACTTTGATTAAAAAACTGGTGAAAAAGGTGTGACACCACAGTGGGGCCGCTTGGTGTCACAACTTTTTCACCAGTTTTTAATCAAAGTCTATTTTGTAAGGCCAAGGCGGATGTACGGAGTTCTGTTATGGTTTGTGTTAAGAAGTCTGCGAGGACTTTACCAACGTGCACATCTGCATTTTCCTTTGCTCCTAGAAC